TTAGGTCTGGGAAATGATCCATGAAAAAAAGAGCATTTCTAATTTCATCAACTGAAGTCAAACAAGAAATAGTATAATTTTCATCTTCACCAACTATAGTAACACCATAAACATCCTCAATTCCACTCGGAGTGAAGGGAGAATTATATAAGGAACGATAAAAGTTTACCACATGATCAGTAATCGCAACAAGATAAGAGAACACACTATCACCATCTAAAAGAGTAGTATTCTAGAAGAAGAATTCCTACATCACGCATAAGCATGGAAAAAAGTATGTTACGATCACCTTTAATAAGCCATAACTCGAGAATCAAGGACAACCATCTTGGCCACAACTTCCTTACAAATCTCTTTTGAGAGTTCAATTAGAATAGACAATATTTAAGTTTTTCCGTAGCAATAGTGACATTTCTATGGATATGACAAAATACATTAGGATTCCAATATTGAAGACAACGCTTAAGAATTTTAAGCTTGTGCGACAAAATAAACATAGGACACCCGTGAGCAATACTTGATTGCCAGCCCTTAGTCCTCACATCAGTGAAACCAGAATGTAAAGGTCACATGGACTGAAATAAAAAAGGTCGGCGTCCCCCAGGTATAGCATCAAAGGCCGAAAAAACAAGACAATTGTGATCTGAGACAACTCTTAGCAAAGCAGAATAACTAGTAAGATTCTAAAAGATGCTAAGCGCGCTAGTCAAATGGTGGGTTGGGACCTAGCGCCTAGACGGGAACCTATGTGGACGCCTAGCAAAACTAGGTAGATTTGAGTAAATTAATTATATAGTATATAAATTAGTTAAATTTAAACATTAAATAATATGTTATTTAAAGAAAAGAAAAAGGTATATATACATATGCAATATTAGAGTTTTAGGTACATAAGAATATATTATGGATTTTATAGTATAGTCTTAAAATTAAAAAGAATAATAAAACATTACAAAAAATAATAATAAATAAAAATTGATGTTGCGTTCAGAGAGGAAAGAAATAGAAGTAGTAAAAATGGAAATGGTGGGGACCATGGCAAAAGAGAGCGTGCAGCTATGAAACAGTGGAAAATTTTTAAAGGAAACTGTGGGATTAAAAAGATGGTTGGGACTAGCTCGGGTCATCTTCTTTCTCGCGTAACCCCAACTCTACAACAACAACAAAATTTAAATTCTGGCGTTATAACATTTGCCAGCCTAGCCCTTTCCAACCCCGTCCAAACCTGCATAGCTCCATCTAGTCTCACCTAATCCCGCCTAATATGCTTTCCAATTTTGTGGCTGCTTAAAATTTTCAAGACGCATTTATATGTGACCACGAACATCCCAATTATTAGTGCAAGTATACAAAGAACCAAAAGTGTCCATATGAGTAAAATCTCATAGCTCAGTAGTATTATGAAAAGGGATATTTTGGATGCGGTCCTTAATCCTTAACATTCTTTGACTAAAATCTTAATAGTATTCAAAGTTTGATCAAAGTCCCTTGACCTTGTACACCTCATTATATTACAATTAATGTTTATATTGTTATAGTTTTGACATTAATTGTTTGATATTTTATGAGATTTATAATCCTATAAATTTAAAATACCTCATTATAATACTATTAGAAACGGTTACAATAAAAAATTTCAAACATTTGATTGAATAAATGGATAAAAACTATGTAAAAATAAGAAATAATAAATGGCAAAAGAATGTATCCTTAGTGTTAAAAAAAATTGGTACATTCCACATATAACAAAGTGGTACATTAATAAAGAAGAATGGGTACATTATAAATAAATTAGGCTGCAAATAAAAGATTAAAAAATATGAGTACAAATGAATTTTTGAAAAAATATATGCGCTAAAAGAAATTAATACATGGGTACAAAATAAAACTAAAAAGAAAATACTACAAATTTAAAAAAATGTTGCAAATTAAAAGTGGGTACAAACTAAAAATATAAATATATGATACAAAGTTTAGGCATAAAACATAAATATACCGTATGTAATTTTTCTATCATTGATTAAATATACAATGTCACGTGACAGTATACATATGGGTACAAACACAAATAAAACTTTAAAAAATATGGGCACAAAAAGAAACTAATATATGGGTACAAATTAAAAATGAAAAAAAAATTTGGTACAAATTAAAAATAGGTACAAACTAAAAATAAAAATATATGATAGAAAATTAACCATAAATATAAATATAATAATTGTAACATTTTTAACACTAAAGGAATATATTTAAAAATAAAAATATGTTATTATTCAAATAATTAATGATGTTATCCCAAGGACCTTGATAAAAAATTGAAAATAAATAGGATTTTAATCAATGGAGTAGTAAAAAGAAGAATGTGAATCTAATTTCTTCTTATAAAAATCTTCACATATGAGCTCAAAGGATAGCATTAAAATCACCAATTGTCATCTAGGGTATAGTAGTATGAGAGCGAACTTTTCCAAAAGATCACACCACAAGTCGCGACGACGACTAGAAGTAGTAACCGCATAAACAATAATGAAATGAGAAAGGACACCACAAAAAAAAAAAAAAAAAAAAAAAAAAAAAAAAAAAAAAAAAAGCCTGAGGCCAACTCCAAACCTGGGCTAAAAACCAAATTTTTAGCCCAAAATTCCCCCAAACACCCCCAACCCAAGCTAAAATATTGGGCTAAAAGGGGAATGCTAAAGTTGGGCCAAATCCCCCCCCCCCCAAACGTGTGGACTCGCCCCGTTTTGGGCCACTCTCGGCCCGCCAACTCGCGCACGCGCCCCACTCGGGCAAGTTGCAACCGAAGCCCGACAGGAAGGGGGCCCAGCGTCAGGGCCTTGTCGGCCACTCACCCGAGCCCAACGACTCTTTTCAAAATCGAACGACCAGCATTTAAGGACCGTTGGTTAATCCAACGGTCCAGATTCAAATTTCATTTTTAAAAAATATGTTATTTTAAAATACATTGAATCCAACGGTTGAGATTGAATATAATCAAATCTAACAGTAAAAAAAAAGATCTAACGGCCCAAATTTAAATCCAACGGCTAAAATAATTAAAAAAAGTTATTTAACTCAAAATTCACCAAAAAACTCTATAAATACCTATGTATTTGTTCAAACATCCACACAAACTCAATTTTCTCGTATAATTCTTCCAATTTATCTTTCTACCATTTCTTTCCATTTCCAAATTGTTCAACATGGCAAGAGAGCATGTTAGAGGTCGTAATTGGACCTGTGAGGAAGATGTTGCTTTATGCTTGGCATGGGTTTCTGTTAGCGAAGATGGTGTAGTTGGCACAAATCAAAATAAAAAGGTTTTGTGGAATAAAATCATTGCAAAGTTTCAAGAAAACTGCAACGGCGGAGGGCGGGACGGTGGTGGTGTTTATGATCGGTGGAAGACTATCAACAAAGCATGCACTTTATGAAAGGGAAGCTTGGAGAGAGTCATGGTTGACATGCCTAGTGGAAGGAGCGCCATAGAAATTGTGAGTTTTTTTCTTGATATTTTATTTGTCATGTACATAATATTATTTTGCAACTAATTATTTTTATGTATTTTTTGCATAGGGTGACAAAGCAATGGAAATTTACAGGACAAGAGTAACACCAAAAAATCAAGTTTTTAAGTCCCAACATGCTTGGGACGTCCTCAAGGATTGTCCGAGGTGGGCAACTGATGCAGACCAACAATGGGGAAGATTATTTCAACGTGAAGCTGCATCGAGAAATGAAGGTGTCGATGAAATGACCCCATCTCCTTCTTTACCAAGGCCCCCAGGAAGAGATAAGTAAAAGGAAGCAAAGAGAAAAGGGAAGTCCCAAGATTCGACGAGTGGAGACTTTGCTACCGGAATTGCAAAATTGCACGAAACTCATAGCGCTCGCCAAGAAGAAGCAGCCCAAATGCGTTTGCAAATGAAGGAAATCTCGGATATGAAGGAAAATAGGTTTGAAATTGAATTCATGATGAAGGACCTCAGTAAATACACTCCAGAGAGGACGAAGTTCTTACGTGATAAGCAAAAGGAAATTATGCGAAAGTCTACCTCAAGGAGTATGTTTCAAGATGATGAATCCTCTAAACCCTATATCCCAACATTTCAACGAAGTCTATCACCAAGTGAAGATGGTGGATATGATCGTTAAGTTTATGTAGTGTATGAATTATGTGTTTTATTAATTAAGTTTATTAATTGTTGTTTGTATTAAGTTTATGTTGTTTATTATGTGGTTTATGTACTTTATTAAATTTATGTCTTATTAATTATTGTTTCTATTTAATCTAGATGTCTTCAATAATTATTGTACTTATTATTCCACACTTTGTGAAAAATTTAATGATTTTTCAATATTTATCGGAATTTAAATTTTTTTAGATTAAAATGTTCATAAAATTAATTTACAATAGTCTACATATTTATTTTTAAAAAAAAAATTTGATTTAAGAAAAAAATTAACCTAAGTTCATTCTTTAATAATTCCTGGCTAAAATTTTAGGCCAGAAGGGTTGAAGCAGAAAAGATGTTTCTGGGCTAAAAGCCAAATTTTCCGAGCTAAAAAATTTGGCTTTTAGCCCAAGGGTTGGAGATGGTTTGAAAAGTAATATGTTGGTCTACAGAAGAAATCATGGAAGAAGCAACGATTCGTAGAATACAAAACCTAAGTATTAGTCAGCAAGTTACCTCTATTATTAACGGTAATTAAACGAAGACCCAAAGAATCCTAATACATAGGAGAAATAGAATCAAAAGTAACCATAAGTTCAAAAATGCAAACCAGATCTAAATGATGAGAAAGCAAGCATTGGAAAGCTTCATACGTGCATTAGAATTACAAATACCATGAAAATTTCAGTAAAGTAGCTTCATTTTGAAGTAGAAATAACTTGTCTTTCTGCTTTTGGTGATACAAGTTCCTCTAGTCTAGTAACGTCAACTTTCTACTTCTTTTTTTTTTTTTTTTTTTTTTTTTTTTTTTTGAAGAAACTGATTTCATTCAAAACCAGGGCCAAAGCCAAAGAGAACAGGAAGCCCACACAGAGGAGCAACAAAGGAAACAACAGACACAAAGCAGAGGAGGAGGGTACAAACACCAACAGACGCTGCCCCAAGAGCTAGACGTCGCCTCCTCCACTGCAGGGAACCAAAAAGGAATGTTAAGGGGGGCAAGGAAGCCCATCTTTGTTCAAAACATGCACCAACGAAGATGGAGGAGTGTTAATCCAGGTTAGACCGCACATCTCCGTATTTCTTCTCGACGCCAAACAGTGCGCCGTCATGTTGGCCGATCTCTTAACCCAAGACCAGCGGCAACATTGGAAGGATTCCGCAATCCGACGAATCTTTGCCCGAATGGGAAAAGCCTCCCAACTGCCAGAAGAAGTCGCCTTCTCCAGAATAGAAATATTCTCCTTCGAATCCGATTCCAAAATTACCTGAGGCAATCCCAACGAAACAGCCACTTCACAACCACAGAGAATTGCATAAGCCTCCGCCGCTTCAGCATTAGCTGCCAAAATTTCCATCCTCCGAGCCGCCACAAAGCAGCCCTCATGGTCCCGAATAACCACTCCAGCAAACCCCCTTTTTGATAACATTGTCCAACTGGCATCCACATTCACTTTCCAGAAAGGGGCATACGGAGGGGACCAACGATCCAAAGAGGGAGAAACAGGAGGAGAGGACCGGACAAGACCCATAGGCGCACAAGAGGCCTCCAAAAAAGATCCAACAGAGTTTGAAATAGCCAAAATGAGCTGCTGAGGTGATGGTTTCTTTTGATTGAAAATAAGAGCACACCTGGCCTTCCAAATATGCCAGCAAGTAAACGCTGCATAGGACAGGAGCCGCATTATTTCATCCTTAGACCCCAACTGGGCCTCGAAGAAAGAAGCCAGCCAAGCAGCCAAAGAAGAAAAGCTTTCCCTGTTCACCCTATAGCTTAAGCTGCCACCAAACCAAATGGGCTCAACCCACGGGCACAAAAAGAACAAGTGTTCCACAGATTCCTCTTGAGCATGGCAAATAGGGCAAAGTGGGGAAGGGGAGCAGCGACGGATAAACAGCACATCCATGGTAGCAAGGGCACGATGTAACGCCCTCCACATAAAATTACGAATCTTAGGAGGAGTCGCCAATTTCCATATAGCTTTCCAAACCTTAGAATGAATTAAGTAGGAGGAGGAGGTGCCGCGACCAGTAAAGGGCATCGAGCAAGCTTTCTTCCAGTGATATCCTGACTTCACAGTATAAATCCCATTTCTAGTACCCGGCCAAACAAGCCGATCCTCCAATAATGGGTCACCAATACAAGTATCCAGGATTGCGGAAAAGTCCTCAGGAGAAATGAAAGGCTGAAGGAAGTCCAGGTCCCAAGTACCCGAAGAGTCACTGATGAGAGTACCCACTCTCAGATTCCTGGACACCGGAACCGCTGAAATCGGCAATGGATGTCCCTCAGGGATAGAGGGAATCCACATGTCCATCCACACACGGGTCGTTCTACCATTCATTATTTGCCAATGGGCTCCCTGCAAGAGAACTTCGCGACCAACAAGTAAACTGGACCAGCCCCAGGACGCCCTTCCCCCACGAATAGCATCAAGAAAAGAACCGTTAGGGAAATATCTAGCCTTGAGGATTTTTGCCCACAATGAATCGGGATCCTGAATAAGACGCCAACATTGCTTAGCAAGTAGAGCATCATTGAATTCCTTAAAACCTCTAAAGCCCATCCCCCCTGCTTGCTTAGGGAGTCCCAACAAATCCTTGGAGACCCAATGAATTCTCTTTTCCCCACCTTTCTGACCCCACCAGAAAGCAGCAATTAAAGAATCCATCTCTGAACATAAAGTTGCCGGAAATTTAAAAAAATTCATAGGGTAAGCGGGGATGGCTTGAAGCACAGCCTTAATCATCACTTCTTTTCCGGCTTGTGAGAGCGTATTCTGCTTCCAGTCTTGAATTTTCTCCAAAATCCTCCCTTTAACAAAAGCCAGGCTTTGTTTTTTTGAACGGCCCCAGGATGAAGGAAGGCCAAGATACAGTCCGGGGTTCTCCGCAGATGGCATTCCCATCACAGTGCAAAGCTCAGCAGAGAGGCTATTGGGAACATTTGCACCAAAGAACATACAGGATTTCTGAACATTCACCTGTTAACCAGACGCCAAACAGTAGTTGCTAATAAGCCTATTCAGAGTACTACAATTCTGTTGATCAGCCTTGAGGAAAAGAAGGGTGTCATCCGCGAAAAACAAATGGGAAATAATCGGACATCCGGCATGCAGAGAGATGCCAATGAGTTGCCGCCTGTCAACCGCCATTTGGAGAAGTCTGGAGAAAACATCACTAACAAGGATGAATAGGTACGGAGATAAAGGATCACCCTGACGGATACCCCGTGATGGAGTAAACTTCCTCCCTGGTTGACCATTAAGAATCACCGCAAAGTCAACAGTTTTTACACACCCCATCACTAAGTTCCTCCAAAGAGAACAGAAACCCATCCTTTCCATCACCGCCTCCAAGAAATCCCATTCAACTCGATCATACGCTTTGTGCATATCAAGCTTAATCCCCATTTCAAACTTATATTTCGCTTTCCTCAAATGCAGAAAATGGAACATCTCATGAGCAATGCCAATGTTATCCTGAATTTGTCTCCCAGAAACGAAAGCACTCTGCATAGGAGAAATCAAATCCGGAAGGATAGGTTTGAGACGATTCGCAAGGACTTTAGAGACAATCTTGTAGGAGTAATTACATAAGCTGATGGGTCGAAATTGCCCCACAGAAACAGGATTCTTAACTTTCGGGACGAGCACAATATAAGTAGAATTGAGACGTTTTGGGGAGCAGGCCCCCTGCATGTAATCCTGCACAATACAGTTAACATCATCAAGAAGAGTATTCCAGAATGTTTGATAGAAAATACCCTGGAACCCGTTAGGACCAGGGGCTTTAAGGCCACCCATTTGGAAGGCAGCTAGTTTAATTTCCTCCACACCGACCGGCCTGGTCAGCTCCTCATTCATCTGATCACTCACCATATGTTGGATGCAGTGCAGAGACTGTCCCCAATCTCTTAGACCCGAGGAGGTGAAAAGATTGATATAATGATCCTCGAAGGTATGGCGAATAGAATCCTGGTTTTCCACCCATCCTTGCCTCCCATCCTGGAGTTTGACTACACAATTTCTTCTCCTGCGTTGCAAAGTGGATTGATGAAAGAAAGCAGTATTCGCATCACCTTCCTGAAGCCACTTCACCCTTGATCGTTGAAGCCAATAGCTTTCCTCAATCTCCCATAGTCTTCCAATGCTCACTGTTAACTCCTGAATTTGCTCAAAGTTTTGATTCCAATTATATTGAAGATCCCCCAACTGATTTAGGAGACAATCGAGCTCGATACCTCTCGACTTGAAGGCATTTCTACTCCAGCAGGATAGTTGGGACCTGCATTGGTGCATCTTCTTTTGCCATCTCGCAATACCGTCTCCTGAATACTGGCGCCTCCAACAACTTTCCACAATCTCTTTACATTTCTCCTCCTTTGCCCAGAACGCTTCAAATCGAAACACTTTCTTCGGTTTATGACCATGAGGCTGACTCTGAATAATGAGGGGGCAGTGATCTGACCCAATAACAGGTTCGTGAATGACCAAGGAGTTTGGCCAACACTCCTGCCACAGCTTGTTTGACAGAACACGATCCAATCTCTCCTCCACGAGCTGCCCATTTCTCATACCTCTCCAAGTAAACGGAGGTCCCTTAAATTCCATATCCATTAACTCCGAAGAGTTAAGGAACTCCTCCAGAAACCACGGCCTATTATAGTTCAGATCCGCCCCCCCCGATTTCTCATAATCCCAGAGTATCTCATTGAAGTCCCCACCGCAAAGCCAGGGAATGTTGGATGGTTTAAACCAGGTATGCATCCACCCCCAGAAAGCTTCCTTCTCAGCCCGATATGAAGTACCATACACCCACGTAACACGCGTCCAACCCTCAGAGTCCACAAGCTTAAACCGAGCATCAATACTGTACTTAGAAGAGAACCCCACTTCCACATCTACCGATTCGTCCCACCACATACTTAACCCCCCAGCTCTCCCGATTGGTGAGACATGAAAGCCCTTCGAAAACCCCAAACGCCTACGAACGCCATCAACTCTATGATCTTTCATTTTGGTTTCAGAGAGAAAGATCATAGCGGGTCTGTGTTTTCTGATTAGCCCATAAAGGGCCCGAACTACCGTGTCCGACCCGAGACCACGGCAGTTCCAAGTAAGTGTATCATGGTACTTCTGCGGCTGTTGAGGGCCAGCCGCCACCACCCTGCGAACCTTCGCCGTTCGTTCCTACAATCAGAATAAAGTCCTCCTGCTCCGAAGTGACTTCAAGTCGTTCCTGCAAGTTTAAGGGGACTGCCTGTGACGCATCTGTTATGGAACTGGATTGTCCCTTCTCCAAGCCGCTTGTCCTCTGAGGTAAAATGTCTCATGCCTGCTTTGTTTTCTTGTGTGAATAAGGACCAATCTCCATAAACTCCCGCTTTGATCCTCTTTTGTTGCTGTTCACCTCATTCACAACAGTGTACACCATATTTGGAATAACCAGTTGTATGCTATTTCGCCCTGGGTCGGGACGACTAGGCCCATCACTCGCAATTATCTCTTGAATTCTCGTCGCCTGGGGGAACTGACTTGGGCTTGGAAAATGGACCAAATGTGTTGACTGAGGGCCCAAATGGCCTAAATCCACAACCAACAACAACAACAACAACAACAACAAAGCCTTTTCCCACTAAGTGGGGTCGGCTATATGAATCCTAGAACGCCATTGCGCTCGGTTTTGTGTCATGTCCTCCGTTAGATCCAAGTACTCTAAGTCTTTTCTTAGAGTCTCTTCCAAAGTTGTCCTAGGTCTTCCTCTACCCCTTCGGCCCTGAACCTCTGTCCCGTAGTCACATCTTCGAACCGGAGCGTCAGTCGGCCTTCTTTGCACATGTTCAAAATCACCGGAGCCGATTTTCTCTCATATTTCCTACAATTTCGGCTACTCCTACTTTACCTCGGATATCCTCATTCCCAATCTTATCCTTTCTCGTGTTCCCACACATCCCACGAAGCATCCTCATCTCCGCTACACCCATTTTGTGTACGTGTTGATGCTTCACCACCCAACATTCTGTGCCATACAACATCGCTAGCCTTATTGCCGTCCTATAAAATTTTCCCTTGAGCTTCAGTGGCCTACGACGGTCACACAACACGCCGGATGCACTATTTCCATCCAGCTCGTATTCTATGGTTGGGATCTCCATCTAATTCTCCGTTCTCTTGCAAGATAGATCCTAGGTAGCGAAAACGATCGTTTTTTGTGATCTTCGCTAGATTGCGCCGGTCATTAGTATGGATAAGTATATAAATGGATAGAGATAGGAAAGCAAACACAAGATGTACGTGGTTCACCCAGATTGGCTACGTCCACGGAATAGAAGAGTTCTCATTAATTGTGAAGGGTTTACACAAGTACATAGGTTCAAGCTCTCATTTAGTGAGTACAAGTGAATGATTTAGTACAAATGACATTAGGAAATATTGTGGGAGAATGATCTCGTAATCACGAAACTTCTAAGTATCGGAGTGTGGTGTCGTCTTGACTTGCCTTATCTGTCTCATAGGTAGATGTGGCATCTTCTCTGGAAGTACTCTTCCTCCATCCAGGGGTGGTATCTTTAACTGGTGGAGATGCACAAGGTAATGTATCAATTTCACTTGAAGCTTACTTGTAGTTTCAGGCTTGGTCAAGCGCGATACAAACCATGTAGTAGGAGTCCCCGAAGTCGCCGAGCTAGGGGGTCTGCTGAAAGAGGTGACAGACAAGGTAAGCAATCAGAGCTCCGACTGATTGTTCACCTTCTCCCCATCTTGCAGCAGCATGAAGGATAAAGAGAAGAAAAATGAGAAGAGATGATATGAGATACTTTTGCTTTTGAAGAAGTAACTTTCCACAGGCTTATTCTTGAACTGAGCTGGAGGGTTTTCTGGTTTCCTCCAGAGTATAAGGCCGACTGAAGAATTTGAGGGTCAAAACAAGTCCATCAAATCTAGAGTACGTTCCACCCCTGCTGATATGGGATACTTTTGCTTTTGACAGAGTAATGAATGTATCGGCACGTGTGCTGTTACGCTTGTCTCCACATGCTTCCTTGTATCCTTCGCACTTGCCCTATCTGTTCCTCAAGCAGATGCGGAATCTTCCCTGGAAACATAAGATGTTGAAGATGAGTACTCGAGAGCAATGCCAGGTAAGTAATCAGGTAAGGGGTTCCAGGAAGTCAGTTCCTGGCTGGAAGCTTGATTCCAAGTGCTGACTGATTGCTCTCTTTCTCCTTGTCTTGCAGGTAAAAACAAGGCCAAAAGAAAAGACAGGGAAAAAGCATGATATGGGATACTCTTGCTTTTAACCCTGATGATATGAGATATTCTTGCTCTAGTATAGCTTGTTTGCAGAGGTATTATCGGGGGGAAAGAAAGCTGAATATTTCGAAAGGCTTCGTTGGGAGTGCCCTCTCAGATATGATGAAGGGTTGAGCATTTTTGCAGGTCTGCATGTCCGTTGGGGATGGAGGTCGACATATATAGGAGTCTCCCTAACAACAAGTAGTAATGCTATTCCTTTACCCTGCTTGGTCATAGCACGGTAGTGGGAGCTACCAGTTTCACATGTTTTAACTCTGTCAGAGCACTTTGAAAAAGTGGTCTGTGGTATCTGGCTCTCGAGATTCGGAGAACAATGCCTCTTCGATTTTTGAGAAAGCAATCATGCTGGGGGTATGACTCTCGAGATTCGGAGAGCAGTGTCTCTTCGATTTTTGAGGAAGTAATCATGTTGGGAGTCTGGCTCTCGAGATTCGGAGGGCGGTGCCTCTTCGATTTTGGAGCAAGCAATCTTGTTGGGAGTGTTGTCTCGAATGTGAGTAAAGGTTGAGCATGTTTGCTAGTCTACCTTGCCACGAAGCACAAAGGTTGACACACAGGGACTTTCCAATTATCCAGCAATGGTACTGTTCCTTTACCCTCTCTTCGATTTTGAGAAAGTAGTCATGTTGGGAGTCTGGCTCTCGAGATTCGGAGGACGGTGCCTCTTCGATTTTGGAGCAAGCAATCTTATTGGGAGTGTTTTCTCGAATGTGAGTAAAGGTTGGGCATGTTTGCTAGTCTACCTTGCCACGAAGCACACAGAGGTTGACACACAGGGACTTTCCAATTATCCAGCAGTGGTACTGTTCCTTTACAGTTGTGGGTAATAATATGGTAGCTAGACCTTCAAAATTTATGTGTCTAAACTTTTGTTAGTGCTGTTTCTTTGCTATTCTTTTACCTTTCTTGGTCAGAGCGATGTAGTGGGAGCTGCAAGCTTCACGTGCTCAACTTTGGCAAAGTTATTTGTGGTACCCATGAGCTATTGTTGCGTGTGGGAAGTGGGTGATTGAACAGTAAGATTCATGTGCTTTCTACTTCACCAGAAGTCTTCGACAGAATGCCCATAATTTCTGCAAAGCTGAGTGTGCGTGTGACAGGTGCTGACAAGGCTAGAAAAGTAGGTGCCTCTTCGATTTCTGAGATCGGCCCTCGTGGTCTCTGAGCAGCCCAGCTTTTGAGAAAGCGAGCGCCTCTTCGATTGATTCGGAGAACGATGCCTCATCGATTTTTGAGAAAGCAATCATGCTGGGGGTCTGGCTCTCGAGATTCGGGGAGCAGTGTCTCTTCGATTTTTGAGAAAGTAATCATGTTGGGAGTCTGGCTCTCGAGATTCGGAGGGCGGAGCCTCTTCGATTTTGGAGCAAGCAATCTTGTTGGGAGTGTTTTCTCGAATGTGAGTAAAGGTTGGGCATGTTTGCTAGTCTACCTTGCCACGAAGCACAGAGGTTGACACACAGGGACTTTCCAATTATCCAGCAATGGTACTGTTCCTTTACCCTCTCTTCGATTTTTAAGAAAGTAGTCATGTTGGGAGTCTGGCTCTCGAGATTCGGAGGACGGTGCCTCTTCGATTTTGGAGCAAGCAATCTTATTGGGAGTGTTTTCTCGAATGTGAGTAAAGGTTGGGCATGTTTGCTAGACTACCTTGCCACGAAGCACAGAGGTTGACACACAGGGACTTTCCAATTATCCAGCAGTGGTACTGTTCCTTTACCCTTGTGGGTAATAATATGGTAGCTAGACCTTCAAAATTTATGGGTCTAAACTTTGTTAGTGCTGTTTCTTTGCTATTCTTTTACCCTTCTTGGTCAGAGCGATGTAGTGGGAGCTGCAAGCTTCACGTGCTCAACTTTGGCAGAGAACTTTGGCAAAGTTATCTGTGGTACCCATGAGCTATTGTTGCGTGTGGGAAGTGGGTGATTGAACAGTAAGATTCATGTGTTTTCTACTTCCCCAGAAGTCTTTGACAGAATGCCCATAATTTCCGCAAAACTGAGTGTGCGTGTGACAGGTGCTGACAAGGCTGGAAAAGGCTGGAAAAGTAGGTGCCTCTTCGATTTCTGAGATCGGCCCTCGTGGTCTCTGGGGAGCCCAGCTTTTGAGAAAGCGAGCGCATCTTCGATTTTTGAGATCGGCCTTCGTGGTCTTTGAGCAGCCCAACTTTTGAGAAAGCAAACGCATCTTCGATTTCTGAGATCAACCTTCGTGATCTCTAAGCAGCCCAGCTTTTGAGAAAGCAAACGCCTCTTCGATTTCTGAGCAGGCGCCTCTTCGATTTCTGAAGCTTCGTCGAGTGCAGATTTTTATAGGGGCTGGCATTAAGTTCCAAAGCACACTTGAATCTCCACCAGTAGAAGCTTCATTCTTGCACTTCTAAGATCTTGATTTGTCCGACCTCTTCTCTCTTCAACACCTATAGTTCATGCAATTTTGTACGTCGCCCTTATTCTTGTAGATAGGCACCAAAGTGCTCATTCGCCACTCATTTGGCATCTTCTTCGTTTTCAAAATCCTATTGAAAAGGTCAGTGAGCCATGTTATACCTGTCTCTCCCAAAAGTTTCCACACTTCGATTGGTATATCGTCTGGGCCTATTGCTTTTTTATGCTTCATCTTCTTCAAAGCTACAACCACTTCTTCCTTCCGGATTCGACGATAAAAAGAGTAGTTTCTACACTCTTCTGAGTTACTCAACTCCCCTAAAGAAGCACTCATTTCATGTCCTTCATTGAAAAGATTATGAAAATAACCTCTCCATCTGTCTTTAACCGCGTTCTCTGTAGCAAGAACCTTTCCATCCTCATCCTTGATGCACCTCACTTGGTTTAGGTCCCTTGTCTTCTTTTCCCTTGCTCTAGATAGTTTATAGATATCCAACTCTCCTTCTTTGGTATCTAGTCGTTTATACATATCGTCGTAAGCCGCTAACTTAGCTTCTCTGACAGCTTTTTTCGCCTCTTGCTTCGCTTTTCTATACCTTTCACCATTTCCATCAGTCCTCTCCTTGTATAAGGCTTTACAACATTCCTTCTTAGCCTTCACCTTTGTTTGTACCTCCTCTCATTCCACCACCAAGATTCCTTTTGGTGTGGGGCAAAGCCCTTGGACTCTCCT